TGAGGGCTCGCGCTCTTCAGAGACAATCACAGAATATGACAGCGCTCGTGTTTAAAAGCAAAACACACTGGAATTAAAAATTCACTGAAAACGCAATGCGAGTCTCTGTTCTTTCTGCAATCTCTGATGTAATCAGCCTGGATTCCTTTATATTAGCGCTGTTTTGGACGGATTGTTTGAATGCATTGGCTTACTGGATCATTGGACTGAAAACTTTCCCTGAGTTTAGCGGCTTAAAATGATCTAATCGCAAGCAGAGTAGCAAAATTGGGTTAAAGGGTTAGAATAGAAATTGTGCTTCAATAATTTTGCGTTAAATTATTTTAACGCGTTAAGGATTGTAAAATTAATCGCATGCGTTAACGATGACAGCCCTAATAAATATAGTTTATTAACAGTTTAGTAGCTAAATATTGCAAATATGTAAACACTTGGATTCATGCCGAACAAGGGCATGCATTTGGATTGTAACAGTTTCATTTTGTTTTTATTCTGTTCCTGTTTGCCTGTGTTCCTGATTCTAGTTTGCTTCCATAGTTTCTGCTCTCCGTGCTGCTTCTGTCAAGATACACGCACACGCCTCCTTCGATTAAATATAATGGCTAGTGTTGCCAAAATTCGTCAAAATCCATTGCCATGACTTATCACGAGAGGAAAAAAATTGCGTTTTAGTCGCATAACATCGGTTAATAGAAACGCCGTCATTTCGCAATACTTTTTTTTATCGACATTCATAAAATATCGCCAAAGTTTTGCGCAAATCTGTATTGGAAACGCACCTAGTGACACACTGGGAACAGACATTTGAACATTGAATGTAAGAAACACTGCAGACTGGATTCGAACCCGGGTCGCTGCGACACAAGCACACTCGCTTTATCAGTTGCGCCACCAAAAGCAGACACCATTGTGCAAAACTGTGGTTACTTTGTGTTCTTTGTATACTGTTACAAGTACTACTATAAGTAGACAGACATTTTCCATCGATGAAAGCACAAATTATATGAATTTATGACTGTGAATTGCTGAGTAGTCTTAATACAGGCGCAGTAAGCGTTGCGTGAAAATAAACCTGATACGGCCTGTAGAACACGAAAGTGCGTTAAACCTGCAGCTGACAAGCCAGTGGACACAACATTAAACATCATCTGCCCTTTTACCTAACATGATCTGTCATTAACGCTGCAGGAAACAATTGCATAAACTACCATAACATTAGTTTTATTTTTGTGCATGCACTAAAACACAAACAGTTCCTTTCGTTGGTGGAAGTATGTGAGCGTGCAGAATTGCTTATGTTTCAGTGCATGCGGATGGAGTAAAACCATCAATAACATTTCTCTGCCCGTTGTCTCTGCTTCTACTCTGACCTGCACAAGTGTTTCTAATGTAAAACGCAATTAAATGATCTCGCAGTAGGCTACGCTGCGAATTTAAACGTGACGCATGGATTGAAATAATTCTAGATTGTTACTTTTCATGCAGTTAAGGTCTCTAAAGTTATTTGACATTTTATTTTTTGTTTAATTTTGAGGGTTGGTCAGGATAGTTTTTAATAATTCATAATATTTTGACAGGCCAAAAGGCTGCAGTCCACATTTCAAAGTGCAATGTTGCCATTGTCTGTACGGGATACAGGATACGGTATAGTATAGTATACGGGAATATACTAAAGTAATAAACCCTCTGATCTTTCACCATTTCAAACTGACTAGCTATATGTTGTTTACATATCTTTACTTTTGTAACTACTTTCTGTATGTATGTAAAGCTGCTTTGCAACCATGCAAAATTGTATAAAAACACTAAATGTGAAGTGTGGTTAAATTTATTAAAAAAGGTAAAGGTAATAATTATTTTAAAAAGTACTGCATAATTATGAATTATTATTATTATTTGCAACTCAAAACATTTATTTTTATCTATACTATTCAATCCAAATCCAACAATTATTGGATTTCCTTTTTTTGTGTGTTTTCTCCAGGGACTGATTGCTCTCATGACCCTACCTTAAACATTGTGTTTACAGTTTTTTGAACTGGGGTGTAAATTTGACTGCCATTGTTATTTTATGTTTTATTTTATGTGGAATCCAGTACAAAAGATTTGTTTGAAATAATGGATTTATAAAGAAACTTTATGTTCGTAATTCTGAGTATGTGATTTTTTGTGTAGTCCACTGATAGCATCCATAAGATTTAACTTCAAATTTAAAGTACAATTAAAAGGTCAAGTATAAAAATTAATATGTACATAGGAACATTGTAGTGTACTTAAAGTGCAAAAATAATAAATAATTAGTACTACAAGTTAACTAAGAGTACACTAACAGAACACTTGCAACTACACTTGCAGTATAAGACTAGTAAACTACTAGTTAACTAAGAGTACACTAACAGGACAATTGCAACTACACTTGCAGTATAAGACTAGTAAACTACTAGTTAATTAAGAGTATATTAATAGAACACTTGCATGTATACTTGCAGCACACAAGTAGTAACCTACTAGTTTACTAAGAGAACACTAATGGTGTGTTCACACCAGACGCGAAGCGAATATGCGCATTGTGTCACTCGCTCTAGATTACTCGCGGGATGTTTTTCGTGTCACTCGTGATATTACTACTATTTTTTATTATTGATAGCAGCATCTCTGTAGCCATGCTAATAAAATACAACTAAAATACAACTGATTGGCTTGCGTTCTCGCGCAAGCCAATCAGCGAAGAGCTTATTGGCACGTCTGGTTGAATCAGACAATAGAAGAGAGCATTATTGCAGCCGTCTGTTATTATATAGGTCTGACACTAACAGGACAATTGCAAGTATAATTGCAGTATAAAACTAGTAGTTTATTGAGAGTATACTTCAAAGTGTACTTTCACAAACTAATCAGTTACTACAAGTATTACAATAGTAAACTATTAATATACTTATAAGTTCACTTGCAGTACAAAGGAAAACGTAATTGTGGACTAGTTGTCCTGGCATCTTTATCTAATGGCATTGAACAGTTTGCTTATGTTAGTCCACCAAGATCCAATCAAAATGTAGCAAACCTTTGAGAATATTCAGCAATTAGCTCCCTTGCCTTGTCATAGTATGTTGCTTAACTACATCATGTTATAAATAAAAAACTTAACATTTTGAATTTTTACCTCAGTAGCTTCTTCTGTGAGTTTCTTTGTGTCCCATTCAGCTCTTTTGCTCATTTCATACACATTTGATTTGATTTCTCCATAAAAGTCTTACAAAGAAACAGGCAGCACGAGCCTAAATAGCGCGACTTTATACCAAAAAATACACTGTCCATTATCAATCGCTGTTTACGTTGAATGTAATAAAATCAGAAGAATCATTCTTGCGTTTCGATGCTTCACTGGTTATTTTTTGCCACTTAAGTTTTAATCAGGCTATTTACAATGTAACTGTAATACATTGTTACAGTTTTGTAGTTGTTACTCTGGCAAGCCATTGTTACTCTGGCAAGCCATTCTTTGTAATCATCTTTGGTGAGCCAAATATTTTGAAACTTGCATTTTCCAGCCATCACGCTTCATCGGTTTCAGCCTATTTTTTGCAATGTTTAACGGTGTGTGAAACGTTGAGGTACCATCGTAGTAGTTTCGTGTGCGCGTGAACATCATGGCAACGTACAACACAAAGTACCTCACGCGGGAAACACTTAACGTAACCCGTAAATGCACATAACTAAGGTAAATCAAGCAAGCTAATATGCATAGGCCACGAAGTGTTGGCGAAATAACACATTAGCGGACCGGAGGGAATAATATGGATTTTTTTCCAGAAAACTTCTTGCACAAAATAAATTCAAGCACTTTCAAGGACCTGTATCTATGTATGCTTATTTTCAAAAACTTTCCAGGGCCTTGACATTTTTTTTTCAGATTCACAAACTTTCAAGGATTTCAAGGACCCGTGGGAACCCTGCTACAAGGTCAAGGCCACATTATTGAACATACTGATCTGGGGGGTATTCCAGAAAGCAGGTTATGTGACATACCCGGGTATGTTTGAGGATAAGTGAGCGGAGAACCTCAGCTTTCGGTTCCAAAATCGGAGGTAACTTTCAGGGTAAGTAAGCAAGTAACCATAGTAACTTGCTCTCTGAAGATAACCTGCTCCGGAGCAGGTTATGTTCCAGGGTTAGTTCACTTCAGCGCATGCGTAATCTACTGACGAGCCTTCAGTGGGCGTGACAGATAGCGCACAACATTCTATATTATTACAATATAGTTATGTAATATAGCCTACTATTTACAGTCATTATATGTTATTATATAATAATTTTTATATTATTAGTTATTATGTGTATTTTATTGGCATATATAACTGTTATCTGTATAAATTATCAAACAATATTATGACAAGGTAATGTTTAATTTATTATATTATATATATATATATACAGTATATTTATTACATTTTATATTATCATCTCACGCATGGATCAGCATTTTCTATAATGTATTTCGTGGATGTTTATAATTTGAAAAGCGCAATCGGCTCGTGACTCGTATGAAATCGTGACTCGTAATGCGTGACCGCATTAGAGATAAGTTGAGACGGGAAAAACTAGACATCGCGTTGGTTTCATACGGATTACTTTATCAGAAAATATTTGTTTTGGACGTGACTTACTTAATTTAAAAGTAGACATTTCAAGCTTTCTATACATATATCTCTCATGTCTTTGAGGCAAGTATTCGCTGAGATTCTGATTGTTTTATTTACGTGTCTGTGACGAGAGGTGACAGAGACCGAGACGGCAGAGAGTGCACCCTGTTTATTTTCTTTATTTTACAAAAGCACATTGTTTTGTTGTTATTAATGACTATACACAAATAAAAATAGACCCTTTGCAGTTTCAAACGATACTTTATTATTATCTGTACAATCAAAAATGACAGAGTATTTTTAGTTCTTTTCGTGGTCATCAAGAAAATATGAGACAGACTGCACCAATGAGGGCTTCGACCCCAGAGGGTTAAAGAAGAGTCCTTTTGTATGGGAATTATGAACCTTTCCTAAGGGGAAATGTAGTGAGAGTTGCTCTGCCCACATTCCTTTGAGCAATAAAACCAGTGTTATCAGATGATTTGTCATTGGTTGCCATGGAACCAGAGGCCTGTTCTGCCTTTTTGAGGTGTTAGTTACATTTCATAGGAAGGGTCCATAGACCCTCATAGTTGGCTTGTTGGTTGGGTGAGGGGTGTTAGGGATTATTTGTTAAATATAACAAATTATTGTGTTTGATTAGTCCAAACGCTACAGGAGGAAAATCTAATTCTGCTGTAAAGCAGGTCTAAAAGACAAGATTGTCATTATTCAGCTCAAGTCAGTTCAGATCAATAACTGTTCATCAGTTTGAACTGAATTCAGCTATAAATAGTTCTACAAAAGATAACGAATGTAGTTATTCAATTAGAATCAGTTCAGTGTTGACTGAATTCAGTTAGGTGCCAATGTCAATGTTTCAAGATGCGATTCAGTTGTAAAGCAGCTCTACAGAAGATGGTATGCATCATCCAGCTTATGTGAAACTCAAGATTTGCTTTGTTTCTGGAAGTCTTTCCACAGTGATGGCACATAACAGGCTTCTCTTCGATGTCCCTGCATGATTCCTAGGTTTTTCTCGTCTGTACAACTCATTCCACACTAATGACATTTAAACAGGTCCCTCTTGAGTAAATCTTCATGTGGTACTTTTGGTTGCAACTTCTCTCCAGTGTGAATTTTCATATGGACTTCAAGGTATTCTTTTTGACTGAAACTCTTTCCACACTGAGGGCACATCTAAGGCTTCTCTCCAGTGTGAGTTCTCATGTTCTTGTTAAGACTTCCTTTATGAGTGAGACTCTTTCCACACTGTTTGCAGGTGAAAGGCTTCTCTCCAGTGTGAACTCTCATGTGGTAATTAAGGTTTCCAGGTTGACTGAAAGTCTTTCCACACTGTTTGCAGGTGAAAGGCTTCTCTCCAGTGTGAACTCTCATGTGGTAATTAAGGTTTCCAGGTTGACTGAAAGTCTTTCCACACTGTTTGCAGGTGAAAGGCTTCTCTCCAGTGTGAACTCTCATGTGGTAATTAAGGTTTCCAGGTTGACTGAAAGTCTTTCCACACTGTTTGCAGGTGAAAGGCTTCTCTCCACTGTGAATTCTCATGTGAGCTTCAAGATGTACACGTTGACTGAAATTCTTTCCACACTGTGTGCAGGTGAAAGGCTTCTCTCCAGTATGAAGTCTCATGTGGACTTCAAGAGTTTTATGTCTACTGAAACTTTTTCCACAACATTGGCAGGTGAAAGGCTTCTCTCCAGTGTGAACTCTCATGTGGACTTTAAGGTTTCCAGGTTGTCTGAAACTCTGTCCACACTGAGGGCAGGTGTAAGGCTTCTCTCTACTGTGAACTCTCATGTGCTTGTTAAGGCTTCCTTTATGAGTGAAACTGCTTCCACACTGTTGGCAGGGAAAAAGGCTCTCCATAGTGTGAATTCGCCTGTGGACATCAAGGTTTTGATTTTGATTGGAACTCTTTCCACACTGAGGGGATCTGTAAGGCTTCTCTCCAGTGTGAACTCTCATGTGCTTGGTAAGGCTTCCTTTATTAGTGAAACTGCTTCCACACTGTTGGCAGGGGAAAAGGCTCTCCATAGTGTGAATTAGCCTGTGGACATTATGATTGGAACTCTTTCCACACTGAGAGGATCTGTTAGGCTTCTCTCTATTGTGAATTTCCATGTGCCTGTCAAGGTTTCCTTGTTGATTGAAACTTTTCCCACACTGTTTGCAGGTGAAAGGCTTCTCTCCTGTGTGAGTTCTCATGTGCCTGTTAAGTCTTTCTTTACGAGTGAAACTCTTTCCACACTGTTGGCAGGTAAAAAGGCTCTCCATAGTGTGAATTCGCCGGTGGACATCAAGGTTTCCATTTTGATTGGAACTCTTTCCACACTGAGGGGATCTGTTAGGTTTCTCTCCAGTGTGAATTTTCATGTGCCTGTTAAGGTTTCCTTGTTGACTGAAACTCTTTCCACACTGAAAGCAAGTGAAATAACTCCTAGTTCCCGTCTTTTGAGCTCTTTTTCGTGTGGAAGTCTTTTCAGACAGTAAGGAACCAAAAGACTTTTCTCCAGTTATGAAATCATGAAGCTTCTCATACTGATCTTTCTCTTCAGTTTCATTCAGTACTTCCCTTTCCTCTTTCAATGCCATTAGGTCTAAGGTGGAAAACAAACAAACAAAAAAAGTTAACCCCAGTTTAATGGCACAAAGCAATCAATATCAAAACATGTAGATATGTAATGCATGTATGTTAGATCCTACACCAGTGTGTCCAAACCTGATCCTGGTCAGCCGCTGTCCTACAGAGTTTAGCACCAACTTGCCCCAATAAATCTGCTAGAAGTTTCTGAAGTTTTCAAAAGCCATTGATTAGCTTTAATTGGGGTTAGAGCTAAACTCTGTAGGCCAATCAGGGCTCCAGACTCATTCTTCCCACTGGTCACTCTTTTGCGACTAACTTTCTCAGTTGGTAGCAAGAGCACATGATTTGGTCGCAATTTTTTTTATTGCGCTACAACATGGGATTAATCAATGCATGCTGATGAACTTTTATCATAGTTTATAGTTATATGGAAAACAGTAAGATACAATGACAAACTAGCTTACAAAACGTTTATTAACAAAAACGAATAATACGAGGCATGCATGGCATACACCACATGCTGTGTTCTATACCGACTAATAAATTACAGAACGTTTAGCAAACACTGAGGAATCAAATAAATAAAAAAGAGAGCCTCCATAGCATAACGTGAGGTAAACAGCAAAGATAACAAGCTTTTCAAAATGAAAACAAAAAGAAAAGTAAAACTAAACTTGCTGTCAGTGACAGTGCTTGCATGTTTTTTTTTCCCCCCCCCCCGAATACCAGCATGTTCACCTTTGGTTTAAGAAGCCGTCTTTTACTTTACTTCAGCATGAAAACCATCCATCGTTTCCTCAATATTCGCTTAATTTTTGCTGCGCGCACCTGCTGACGCTGCGAGTATAAACCAGGCTCTACACTGCGCTGCGCAGTTCAAATGAGTAGCGCGGTTTCGTTATGCTTTCAGTTTTGTTTGCCTTTTGATGTTTCTCATATGCAACAGAAATGCAGCGCTTATGAGTTAAACAATGCGCTGGTCGCGCCAGTGCG